TGCATGTGTGACATATTCTCCGTAGGACACCTTCTGCTAAGGGGCAAGTTCTCCATGAAGTCACGCTGCTCTGCAGCTCTGACCAAGCAACTTCTCCAGCAGTTGCAAACAAAAGTAAGCTCACCAAAGGCATTTAAACATCTAATTTTCATGGAAAATTAGCGTTATAATTTCCATAAGGATCTGTGTCTACATAGTTTAAGGGGCTAAAAGCAATAGGAAAATGAAAGCTGTTCTGGAGGCTCCTGCCACTGGAGGGCAGTGAGGCACTGTCCTTCAGGGAGTGAGCACGTTTCTGGGTAAGATGGTCCAACACCACAGTGCTTTGGTAGGACCCAGAAAGAGGCCTCCACTTCAGCAAATACCTTTAAAAGTAAGCAGAGGTGAAAATAAACATATGCAAAAGGGACAGCTACAAACAGCAGGACGGTTGTTTCCATTCCTCACCTGTCTCCTGCCAAGGTCGGAGGATATGGCTCTGCCCAAATGGAGATCAGGAGAAACTCTGGCCCACTTCAGGCATTCATCCTCCCTTGCAGCTCTTCACTCGTTATCACTTAAAGAGGTTATAAACCATGACACCTGATAGCTCTCCCATCTAATATTTGTAAAGGATTTCACTGAAGTATCTTTGAAGAGATAAACTAGGGCTGGCTGCCTCTCTCCTATACATGTATCCCTTGTACAAATACTTATTTGTATTTCTTCTTCCCTGAAAAAAAGAAATTACTAATGTGTGTGAACTCACAAAATGGTGCACTTTTTTCCATGCTATAGTAATGTATTTGTTATTTCTTTAAGTATACTTACTGCACTTTTGAGAAGATTCCTTATGCAAAAAATCCTGTTTTTTGCTGAACCCGTCGCATTTCCAACAGTCTGGTAATGGCCATGTCTAGTGCCCTGCTGCAGCGGAGGTGTTTGCAGTGCCATACAGAAACAGCCCTGGCAGCTCTCAGCTAGTGGGGCCGAGGGACCAGCGTGCCGAAACCTGGCTCCCCACACAAGTAAAGTGGTGGTGGACTTAGTGGTGGACTTGGCAGTGCTGGGTTAATGGCTGGACTCGATGATCTTAAAGGTCTTTTCCAACCTAAATTATTGTATGATTCTATGATTCTAAGTAGACTCATCTGCCCCTTCAGGACTGACCTGGGGAGACAGGGGAAATATTTCTCTCAGGTCATGAAACTCCTTTGGTAAGGACCTGCTTAGCTGTTTAAAAAATGGTGTCTTCTGAAGCGTGATGAAAAATGATTTAGTTAAATATAATAAGGACAAGCCAAAACATTGATTTCAGAAGAAATATCATGCTTTTTTTCATCAGTTTTACTTTTTGTTTGTAAGAGCAGAGCAGGACCAACTTCAAATGAACATTTGAGGCCTTCAAGATGTACATGTAAATGAAGGTTCTTTATTTTTTCTACTTTGAAAAACATCTGGAAACAAACAGGGGAATGAAATGATATGTTGCCAAAGAGCAGCAAGGTGGAAAAGATGCACAAGGAAAAATGAGCAAGCAGAGGAGCCAAAGACTGCCTTTTTTCTACTTTTCCCAGCTCCAATCCCGGCTGCCTCAGGAGCAGCAGAATTACCTGATAACATTGGTCCTTGCTCCTGTGCACACACATATCTCTGCACGCCTGAGGTTAGCAGAGGGCTGGGTGCAATGTGTGTGCAACAAAGGATGATGAAGAGCTGTTGTACAGCTTTGTGGTATGATTTGCATTTGGAAATGCAATATTCTGCTGAGGTTTGGAGACCCTGGGTATATGCCTGGTAGCTTGCTCCTATTAAGGCCTGTGGTGTTGTATATTCACTGCTGCTGTTAACCATGCCATCTATATGAAGCTGCGTAGTGCCCTAATATTTGTTGCTTAGCTGTCCAGACATATTCTCAATTATACTTAAAATGCGTATTCTTTCAATGCATTCTTTTTTCATGTTTTCTCTCTGCCAGCCATCCCACTAAATTCAACCCCGATAAGTTCTGAAAGTATTTTTGCACACTGAAGAATGTATAGAGAAAAGGGCAAAGCCCAGGTGAAGTAAATCACATCCCTGATAACATAACCTTCAAACAGGTTCCCTGCATTTAGGCTGAATTTATTGGTAAAGCAAAGCAGAAACTTTACATGTCAAGTCATCTTCGGTGGACAGAACTGAGTATTGAGTGCTGGGTCTGGCTTCCTGGTCCCAGAGGAGAATTACCTTGGGATAAAGATGTCACCATCCAGCCCCTGGAAGCCCCAATCCACCCCTGTGAATCCTGCGAGGGAAGATCTTTGTCAGAGATGAAGGCTGTGCCAATGTAAATGGGTATCGGTGATCTTGGCTCTGCACACAGTAGGACAGGTCATTTCATCCTGTTACCCAGCTAAGGCTTTGTGTCAACACAGGCTGCTTATCTTGGTGTGTGCTGCATTCTTGCAGCTCTTCCTGCTTTTCACATTCACGTGGACAATGGTATAGTCTTAATAAAGAGGTTTTCTCAGCTTCTAGCAAATCCCTTCGATCTCAGCAGGTACCACGGGTAGGGGTCACACAGACTACCACCAGTGCCGCTGACTGTCTCCAGCACCCTTTAAGCATTTGTTATTACAAAAATGGAAGTGGCCATCTAGTGCATTGGGGGTGCCAGGGAGTGAGGTGTGACTAATACTGCCTTTACATTTCTTCTAAGTAGATTTTGAGAGTAAAAAATCAATGCAATAAAAAATGAGGATCAAAGCACACAGTCTAACCAAACGCTAACTCTGTAAAAGTCTGATCCCTTCAAGAAATAAGATCCATTTATGAAAGCTACATTTCTATTTAGAGCTTTATCTCCTGAGAGTTTGGGGAGACTGTAACAATTTCTCAGGATCTTAATTCAGAGACATCTTTACATAAGAATAATCAATACATTAGTGATTAAAAAGTGCACAGAGACAACACAAAACCCAGCATGTAAATGGCCAAACCCCAAACCAATCAGCTCCCAAATTAAAGTCATCAAAGCCCAAATCACAGAAGAGGAGACAAGCGTGCCCTGAGCCAATGTTTCCACTGATTTTGATTAATTGACTCCTTCTGATACTCCTTCTCATGTGTAGTGTTCAATTAAGGAAAAAAATTGATTAGGGAAATTAAAAAATGCTTCTCTGGAGAAAAGACTGGGAGTTGTGCCTGCATAAAACTCAGGGATTTTTTAAAGCAATATTAGAGCCCTAGTTGAGGACTTCAGCAGGGCCCTTGCATGGTTCCTGCCATCCATCAGCCTCAGTGGCACCTCTGAGAGAGCAAAGAGAATGGGTCTGGCCCTTTGATTTTCCCCGGGAAATTAATGTAGCAATGCTCTGGGTCTTGATTCATAAGGTAGCTGAATATACTAGATATAAGTGCAAAGCTGCATCAAATTTTGATACATATTTACTGGAAATAATAATGATAAATAGAACTGATGCTGACCTAGCTTTGTTTTATTAGTTACTAATGAAAGATGATGAAAAGAGTAATTAACAAAATAGGGAAGATGAATTAGTAGAGAAAATAAACAACAAGAAACAATCAGGCCAACTACATCAATTAATAAGGAAAACTTTCTTCCCTGCATGAGTCCTCAGTGGCTCAGATGTAAGAGGAAAAAAGTGCACGTAAAGAGATGTGTAGATCTTTTTTGTCTGTACGCTGATATTTTCCGCAGTGCAGGCTTGCACATGGAAGGCTGTGCAAACACACAATCATAAAAATATTTCTGCTGGATCAATCTGCTTGTAATCAGGCTTATTGTAAGAACGACGGAAGTGGCCATTTGCTCTGTGCAGGTTCAGTGAATCTTTGGAGTAGCACAACACTTTAAGGAAGGCTGTGTTCCTTGAGAACAACCTCCAGAGAGTCAAAGCAGGCATGTGTGAGGGACGCTTTGCTCTTCTGTGATGCATTTCTGAAAGTACGTCCAAGATTTTCATCTGCTCACAATGTGATTTGCTAAGCAGTGAGGTAGGCTAAGAGAGTCTGATTTTCATTGATAAGTTCTGAATTGCACACCTTACACTCTTTTTCAAGATGGTTTTCCAACATTTGAGTCAACTACATCATTTGATGAAGTATAGCACGGCATTTTTCCATCGTCTTTGAATAAATGTTATCTTTTTCCCTTTGCATGAAACAAAAGCAAAATGTATTTACCAGTAAATACCCAATTCTTAGAAGGATCAGTTAAAGAAATGATAAGACTCACCAGACATCCTGTCTCCTCTAGAAGCTGTGGATTAGAAATATGAAAATATGAACAACATGAAAATTGTTATCTTAGCAGCTTCAGTTGTATTTCAGAAGAAATTAATTCATTAATTGCCAGCAGCAGAGCAAACACTACAACAGACCTTTGTGGTACCTGGTGGCAACTGGTGAGAACTTTGTACCTCAGTCTGCTCTCTGCAAGTGGTGAGGAGCCTCTTTCTTATATTGTCTATTTTGTTCTAAAACTAAACTTCTTTTTTATAACCTGTCTTTACTACCTTAATCAAGACAAAGATTTTAGCTTGTGTTGAAAAGCCAGAGCAAGGGTTTATTCTTTAGGAATGGCTTCTAAGTTAAAAAAACAAAAAACAGTTCAAAAATGATGTTCTGGAGAGGCATGGGAAGGGTTCAGTTTGAAGCATCTGGCTTTTCTATTTTTTCTTATATTGTCTATTTTGTTCTAAAACTAAACTTCTTTTTTATAACCTGTCTTTACTACCTTAATCAAGACAAAGATTTTAGCTTGTGTTGAAAAGCATCCCAGACCAGAAGACCTTTCCTGAGCAACACCAGCTCTTGCTCCCAGTAACCACTTCTGAAGCATGTGGAGGAGAACAGAAAGAGGCAATCGGGCTCTCAATTCACTTCTGCCTTCACTGTGCTTCTCTTGCGTTGCACCCTGACAGCTCTGCTGGCTTCATTGCTATAAGCCTTGTCTCAGGCTGATAATTAGATTTACAATTTATACAATTCACAATTTTAAATAAATAAAATAATGCCAAATGTACCTGAGCAAAGCACACTGGCATCTTCTCTGTGCCCACAGTTATGTGTTGACCATCCCGTATGAGCATTCCCACAGGTAGGATTCATTTCCATAGCACTGCACATCATCCAGGAAAATGTTCCTTGATCCTGGAATGAAATGCGCATTTCCCAGTGCAGAGAGCTTTTCCACATCCCAGCTGTCTGCACACAACCTGCACATCATTTATGTCCCAGAAGTCATCACAGACTGTCCCCCAGCTTCCTTTGTAATAGTCCTTGACACGACCTTCACATCTATTTCTACCATTTATCAGCCTCATGGACACATCTGAGAAAGAGAAGGAGAAGGAGATAAAACTTTGTAGGCTGCCAGACCACTAAGTTAAGATTCTGGAGTAGTTCTGGAGCTGATTCAGTATGTCATGCTGGCTAGTGGATTCTCTCCTGGTCTTTCCTCTGCAGGGAAGGTGGAGAGAGCAATCATAGAATCATAGAATTGTTTAGGTTGGAAAAGACCTTTAAGATCATCAAGTCCAACTGTAAACTCAGCACTGCCAAGTCCACCACTAAACCATGTCCCTAAGCACCACATCTACACGGCTTTTAAATACCTCCAGGGATGGGGACTCAACCACTTCCCTGGGCAGCCTGTGCCAGTGTCTGACAGCCCTTTTGGTGAAGAAATTTTTCCTAATATCCACTGGTTATGAAATTAATAGTAATGAAAGAAATGACCTATGTTGGATAAATGCTAGCAGGTATTTACCTACTGACATATTAACAATGAAGTATTAAAATTAGTAGAGGCAGAATCAAAGTTTTACTCATAGAGACAAGGGTGACCAAGAGATGAGGTTAATCAAGCCAAAGCAAGACAGTGTGACTATGAATAACTAAATTCTCCTTTCTCCTTGCATTTTAATATCACTTAAAGGCCTTTGAGTTTCACTAGAAAGTGGAAAAAATCTCTTAGACTTTTTTGTGTGTGTGAGGTAACTACCCAACACATAAAATGAAAAATGCTGTTTTATGCAACACTTTTTCTTTTTTAAGACTTTGAACTTGTAGCAATCTGGTTCAGCGAAGAAGTTTTCCACACACAAAAAGTCCCATCCTTTCAGTGCTCTGGGAAACCAGATATACATTTCAGTTTCAATTATTTATTCTCCTTAAAGATTAAAAATCCATGGTTAGCCTCATGAAAACTATGTATATCAGTATTACTGCTTTCATTGTGGTCAAAATATACTATATTTTAAGAAGTTCTTCTCATGCATAAACTACTGAAGAAACTAAATAAGATGTAAATCGGTAATAATTTAAACTGGAAGTTGCTTATGCTAGGGAAAATTGTTTCAAAATAAAAATGGTTGAATAAATATGAAATTGAAATTGCCAGTTATTTCAGTTCCCATAGAAGCTGTGAGAGGAGGAAACAGACAAAACACACATTTTAGCAATCACAGTTTTTGTAAAATTAACTATATTTTTAGAACAGGTTCTTCACTGAGAGAGTGGTTGGTCACTGGCAGAGGCTCCGCAGGGAAGCGGTCATGGCACCAAGCCTGTCAGAGCTCAAGGAGCATCTGGACGACGCCCTTAGTCCTATGGTTTAGTTTTAGGTAGTCCTGCGAGGAGCAGGGAGTTGGACTCGATGATACTTATGAGTCCCTTCCAACTCAAGAAATTCTATGATTCTATGGTAATACTTCACCCTTCTTTGCAAAACTATTTTTGTTTCAGATAGTGTTCAACAACTAGTTAATTAAGCTCTTTGTAATACATGTGTTCTGAAGATGACAAAAATGATGAGACATGAGATTATGAGCTGACTTTCCTTGCTAGCAACTTGAAAATCAGTGGGGAACAGGATAAGACTTTGCAACTTTTTTACCATCTGCCAGATATTAAACAAAGTTGCCAGGGTTAAATTTGGGTAAGGACCTAGAACTGCCAGAAGTCTGAGCATGGCACGTCCTTCTTCAGAGGGATCTGACAGAGCCCTGGCTCCTTCTTCTTGCTCCCTGCCCCTGGGCTGCAAAAGAGTTGTGACTCTAAGACTTTGGATTTGTTTTATCCTGATTATCTCACTCAAATAAATAGTCCACAGGCACTCAATAGGAGCTTTGTCAAGGTGAGGTGTGTGGGATTAGGACCTTACGTTCATGAAAAGTCTCCTGTGTGAAAGCTTGTTGGTTCTGTAAGGACAGAACGTGCCTCGGGATTGCTTTTTGGTGCTCCTCCCTAATCTCGGTAATAAGCAAATAGAATTGGTTAATACAGATTACAGATGATTAAAGTAATGTGGTATAAAAAAAGTATTGGATGGACTCTGAGTGACACTGATTAAAATGCTCTAAAAGTTTTTGTGTCTTAGCTGGATGGAAGTTTGCAATGACAAATATTGATTAAAAAAAAAAGAGGGAAATTCTCTGTGCAGGATAGAGCCTTCTTACGGGCAAGAGAGCCATAACGCTGTTGAGAAAAGGGTTTTTCAAGTTCATGGGAGCACTTTTCAATTTGACAAAATTAAAAATTAATCGTGACTCTTCTTGATAAAGCAAAGATATTAGTGTGTACACAAGCAGATGACACTGGCATCCCGGTGGCTGTCACACTTCTCTCTATACTACCCGCTGCAAGAATGTTCCCACGGGTATTTCTTATTCCCTCTGCACTGCACATCATCCTTGACAATATTTCTTGGACTGTGAGTAAAGGTGACATCACCTGAAGATGATACAACATGTCCACACACCTGCTGGTTACAGTCAACTTCTGCAGCACTTACATCCCAGAAATCATCAAAAATGGTCCCCCAGTGAGAGTCAGAAAGTTCGCATTTTTAACAACTTGCACTAAACAAAATGAACAGAAATTATCTATTTACCCACACTGCTAGGAAAAAAACCCACAAACCAACTCTCAGTACATTGAAATTTTGTCTTTATAAGGTTATTCATATTTTAAATGCATAGTAGCATGTATTTTGCAAATACAGTAATACATTGCATGAAAGATGTTTTTCTACACCACCTGTGGTTCTTATGAACAATCAGTTGAATTCATTCCTTAGTTAGGAAGCAATGGGAATGGGAAGATGGGTAAGCCTCTGAATGGCATCATACTCTACCAAAAAAAAAGGAAATATAACTGTCCTACTCCTTAGATTTTACTAGTTAAAGATTTTGAGTGTGGAGGCTAACATGTGGGTTATAGATCTCTCTTAAGTAGTATTTGCTGAAATGCAGGAGGATAGTTTGGGGATGTCCTGAAGAGCTTGAGAATGATGTTCCCTTTCGCTGAGCATCAGAATCTCGGTCCAGCAGATGTGTATAACATGCTATTGATCGCTGACGTCAATACATCAGAAGTCACCTGCGCAGGTGACACCGGCATCTTCCTGATGAAAAGAGTGATTGACGAATCATCCATTATGGGAGCACTGCCAGAGGAGAGCTTCACCTCCTCAGCACTGTAGGAGGATTTCCCCTGTGCCCTCACCAAAATGAGCTTCTCCCAGAGGTGCAGAACATCTGTTCTACCCGTTCACTAGCCTCGGGGATGATTCTTTGGAAGACAAAAGGAAATTAGATCAACTATTAGAGTGACTGATGTGTTTTCAATGACCCCCACAGTCTCAGGCTATTGGAGGAAAAGTTTACAACAACTTTCTATGGAGCCCATCAGCAGTGAAAGTGTGCTCTAACCCGTGCTGCTCACCAGGCTTGAGATCCTGTGGTTTCGGGCCTGATTTTAAAGTGTCTTCCAAGGGTAAGGCATCTGAGTGTTCTTGTGGCCGTTGCATAAAGTTAGAGTTACACTGACACAATGCCGTCATCGTCTAGTGGGGACTCCAGCATGCGATATTGTGTTTTATCTGACCAGCAATGGCCTAGGCAAGGAAGCCAATGCTCAGAATAGAACAGCAGCAGGTCACTGCCTTCAGTGTTTCACTTATTGAGGCAAAAATTGAATGCATTAGGGATTACATTTGCACTGGCTGCATGTATGCTGAGTGGCTTCCAGCAGAAGAGCTGCACAGTGGAGACCACTGTGCTACCCCTTGGCTCTGAACTACTTCCAGTTTATTACCCACATTGATTAATGTTATTCCCAAAGCTCCCAGAAACCATGCCACAGACAAACACCTCGCTGTAAGGAACAGATCTGCTGACACTGGTATATCCAAAGCAGTAATTCAGACCTAGGCTGTGTCTAACCTCTAGGCTGTGACTAACCTGCTACACATACGCAGCTCACCATGCTTTTACCAAATGCTCTTACCTGCTTGCTAGGGTCCCCTTTCAGTATGTCATTATATTTTTGTCTAAGCCCCTCCAAGGCACTAAAGAAAATTAATTAGTTATCATTATGTATTTTTTTCCTACAATGCATTAAAATACAATACAATATATGTATTTTCTACATTACATTAAAAGAAATAAAATATTTGGTGGCATCTTCAGTCCTCCAGCCTACTAAACAGCCATGATGTCTACCAGCTTGAGTGGTCTTTGATACAGGTTACAAAATTTGCTAATATTGATTTTAGAGGAAAACACAAGAGAGAGGGAGGTAGCACTGAATAGCATAAGGCATAGTACCTGACCCCTACAGACATCCTCCATGCAGCGGTCAGCATGGGACTCATGTTAACTGGGTTTCCTATAACACTAATAAAACATGTTTCAGAATTTGTAAGCATGTGGATTTAAAGGGGTATGCTCTGCAGTTTGACCAGCCTTACTTTTTTTTAAGTTAGTAATTTCATACAATGGAGATACTTTTGACTTTTAAAAAATATTCTCTCACCTTTTTTTGCCAAGGGTTTGTTTGTAATACCTTGATTTTTTGGTTACCCTAATTATTGTTTGCAGCCCTTCTCTTCTATAGGACCAGTGGTTAAACCCTCCCCTTGGCACATCCAATGGCAGCCACTGGCCCAAGAGGAACCAGCTGCATGCAGCCAGGGAGAAAATTAGTGATGCCAAGCAAAAAATGATGGCAGACTTTTTCCACCACTCGGTTTCTCCACTCTCCTGACGTGGAGCTGGTGGTGGTTGTGTTCCTTGGTCCCCTCACAGACCAGAGCCCCCAGCCCACGTCCGTGGTGGTGGCTCTGCCCAGGGTCTGTCTGTGGGCTCTGTGGGCTGAGAGAGTTGCAGGGACTTGCAGCACCTCCTGCCCTGGGCCACTTGTGCTGTCCAGGAGCCCAGACAGAGTGATCCCCAGCAAGGAAAGCCCCACCTGGGGAACCTCTCAGGGCAGGGGTACCACGAGCCAGCTGAGGTCTTAGCCCCATGCTCCCATGGCTCACACAGCCAGGCCCTGGGCACCAGAGCGCCTGCAGCTGTAAGCATTACTGGGGCAATGGACTGCTTTATCTTCTAGGAAACAAGATGCTTTTTTTCAAAATGCAATGCCAGAAACCCCTCAAGACTGTACAAATTTACAAATGTACAAATGTCTGTATTTCAAACAATTAATTTTCAGCTTGATCTGTAAGTGTCATCCCAGCTGTCATACTTCACAGCCTTCGGGAAGCATCTCATGTGACGCCTGGCTTAATCCTTGCAGTGTTGGCAGAGAGTAGTCCACTTGTCTTCCTCAACAATGCATTCCTTAGAGAAGTCCAGTGAAATTTTATGAAACAAAGAAGGCTTGTTTCGCACTGGCAAGGCTCAGATCAAGTGTTTACTCTACATGCACAATGTGCAGCTTTCAGATGCACTCTGCCCAAGCTGCCCAGGAGCTTGAAAAGAAACTGAAGTAACAGGTTTTGGCCACCCTCCTGTAACCAGGGCTTCACAGTTGCCTTTCTGAGCCTATGACTAGGGACAGCAGGATCCAGCATTTTGGAAAGAAGGCCAGGCTTCGCTACATTAATATTAAGTCATGCTCCCTGCCACCGCTTTGCATGGGAGAACAGAGCCTTCACATCAGCGTAACTCAATTTTCATTATATCTCATGGAAAAAAGCTCTGCTCAAATCCAGGCTTAGCAATGGAAGGTGGTGGTAACTAATGCCAAATGCTTCAGAAACACCTCAAAGTCCTCAGCTGAACCTGTGTATAAACCTTTTATAACCAGATACCATTATCAAATGAGGAGCCCTCAAGTCAGGTTCCTTTTTTGCTAGCAACTGGTCAGGCACAGAAGAAAATTCAGCCTTTTTAGTGAGTGCCTAATTTTATTCAGCACCTAAATTAAAAAGCAATAAGCAGAAGGCATGAGGGAGATAAGGCAAGGGGTAACAAGGTCTTGACATGCACTGGGAAGTTATCTGCACGGTAGGAGCAGGGATGAGAGGGGAGGAAAAAGAAGCACTAAAGGGAAAAGTCATATGAAAAAAACATAAGAAACTTCATCCCCATCACCACTAGACTTTCATCCCCATCCTAGTAGATGGATTTCAGCCTCCAAGGCTACTAGGCCACACTCATCTGACTGCAACTGTTCAAAAACCAAATTTTATCCGTTCTATTGAGACACTCAGACACCCACGTAGAACTTCCTTAGGCTCAACAGGTTTGCCTGACTATGAGGACAAAATACAGCCCTGACAGTCTTCATATAGAATGAGGAGGAAAGAGAGAAGCCAACTCTCTGAAACTATAGTTTCTGAAAACTGAAAAAAAAACCCCAAAAAACCCAAAAAAAGAAGACGACAGTCATTCAAACTTGACAGGCTCTTTACAACAGCAGCAGTCCAATTAATTTCTACATTATAGCCTGTGTCTAATTCACTTATTTCAGAAAGAAGAAGGAAAAATCTGCTTGGATGGGTACCAGGTGATTCAGGGCAAAAGAGGTGATCCAAATGTTATTCTAGGAAATGAAAACAAATCTCACTCCCAGTGACTCAGCTGGGTCACTGATGAGTTTCCTCAGCTAGGCATGATTTTGTTACAATATGCTTTTTGTGTCTTAGTTCTTGAGCCTGAGATAGAAAATCTCCTAAAATACACAAGCTGCTGTGAGAATTTTAATATCTCCCGAGTTTTTCCCAGCTAGACATAAACTGCCAAAACACATAAAAATTAAATTAAAAAGCCCATGAAAAGAAAACCAAACTACTAAACTGAAGAAAAAAAGCCAGGAAAATCTCTTCTCCTTGTAACATAAGGCATTTAACAGAAATTGTGTGAAAAATTGTGCTTGGGTTCAGGGATGCTGGACAGCAAAGGACTGCAATCCTTTTTGTCTTGACTTTGTCACAAACAGAGAAGGGCAGTGGTGGGTCAGTGTCAAGCAATGCCTTTGCTCTTTCCTCTGAGTTTATTAAGCGTGGTGGACAATTCAGTAACCCAGCTGCAGTGGCTGCCTGCCTGATTTCCCGTTCAAGGTAGATTCTAGTGCAATCCTGTTAATAAACCTTGCCCGTGGTTGCTGAGTCTGATGGAATTACTAAAAAAAAAATAAAATTATCAGTCAAGTGAAAGTGATCTCCAGAATATATTCATTTAGTTATTTAATTGGAATTTGGTGCAAGTGTTCAGTCTCAGGCATTAAAGGACACCTAAGTCAGAACTATGAGCAGACGGTTATGCTTAGCTGCTTAATTCGGCTTGATGTCAATGAATATCTGTGGGCTTCTATGGCAAGGCATGGGGAGAAAGTAATAAGAACCAGAAAAATTGTGTTTCTTACCCATACCCTGAAAACCCAAAGTAGCTATTTTTTCAGTCTCAATCTACAAAATATGGGGATTTGTTATTAACAATTGGAAAACGAATCTACTTGCGAGCTATGGGATCCAGAAACAAAACAATATTTATTTATACCCAGTTATAAATATTTTTATAGTATGTTCCTGGGAAGGAGGACTACGGAGTTGAATTATCTGCTTCGTCCTCTGAAATTAGAATAGAAAGATAAACAGGACACCAAAGCACAGAAAATTCAGTATACAAACAAGCAAACAAGAACTTTGTTTCTGAGCTTGCTTTAACCCCAATGCTGGCCAAATAGGTTGCATGATAACACTGGAAAGAGCATGATGGCAGGAACCCATAGAGTCTGTACAATTTTTTTTTACCAAAAAAAGTGTACGTATTTGAAACCAAATTGCTATGGAACCATTCTCTTTCCATGAAAGAACCTTCTCAAGTGCCACTGCAGGGGAGTTGTTCAGGGTTATGCAGTTACGAACACTTGCACCTACGCGATCTGGATATACGTGGTGTAATTCAGTCACTGTCCTCTCCCAACACAGCTCACACTACATAGGGTGACACTGGCAAGGGATTTTAGCATGATGTTGCAAACAACAGGTTTAGTTGGTGCTGAAATCGTTGGTTGAGTACATACTACTGAGTGAACAAGTACTTCCTACATAGTTGAGTAGTGACAGACACACTAGGAAGAAATTAAATAATTTAATACCAAAGTCAAACAGTTATTCAAACCAAAAACATACAAAGTGATAGTTGGTGTGTTTTCTCTGAGGGTGGAGGAGGTGACAACCACAAGCCTATCTGCAGCCTCCGGAAAGCTCATTTTAAAAGAGCAAAGGCAGTGGCCTCCACGCGCTGCTGGTTCTTGACATTCTTGTGTTTGCAGGCACCAGCCTTCGCTATGGGGTTGGCGTAACACTGATCCCACACAAAATGAATAAACAGGACAACAAAACAAAAGGCCAAGTAAACAATTTTAGTTTACATTTTGACTTTCATTCTCTGTATTTTCAACTAGGACTTGAAAGGCAAAAATCCCAGACCTTGCTTTTCATGTTTTTACGCACCATTGGTAAATGTTTATGTGGGATTTGGCTGTTTGCATTTCCAGCATATTTCAACCTGATTTATGAATGTGCACAACACAGTCTGAAAGGCTGGGTAAGTCCTGACAAGCCAAACTCCTCACAACCACAAAGCATACAACCATGAAGAAAAAAGTAACTAAATAATTTTATTGTGATCAGCACCCAGAAGTGTTAAATACTGAACAAAACTCTTCCTTCTCAAAAGGAGACATGAAATGTCTTTCAACATGTAAATGACATTTTGGTGAGAAGTGAAATGTCTCCTGACTGAGATTCAATCTCTTGGATGAGAGTTACAGTTTTGCCTGGTTTAGGATGTACATCAGTGAGAAGGCTTCCAATTGATTTGACAAGCCTTTAGATCATATTGTGTGGCTCAGCCTTAAATATTGCAAAAAACCCCAAACCTTTAACAGCTCAGTATCTATTGAATTTGGATTTATTTAATCTAGAGAAGTGAAAACTTAATGGGAAAAACATCAATCTTCAACTAGGTAAAATGCACCTAAAGAAAAAGGGGAGAAGACGACTCCCCATGGCCAGGAGGGACAGGGCAAGAACTAACGGGCTTGAATGGCAACAGTGAAAATTGAGGGCAGGCGTTGTGAAAAGCCTTTTAAACGGTGATGCTAATTTCAATAGTGAGTCTCATTAAGCATGAGAAGAGATTGCCTAGGCAAGTTAGGGAAACATCTGTTGCGAAGATGTTGGGCTGAGGTGGTGGTGCTGAGGGTGCAGAGGAAGCTCCAGCTGATGTGCTTTTGGATGCCCTGGGTGAGCAGTGGTGCCCATGGCCAAGGAGGAGGTGGCACGGGGGTGGCTGGCATGGAGGCTGGAGGCAGCAGCAGGGACCTAACGGCAGTGTGAGAAACAGGCTGCGGCGTTCATGGGGACAAGTGCCACAATGTGGAGTGAGAAGGAGACCAGGGCTATAGTAGGGATCTTGGAAGCAGGAGGCGTGTGTCATGGGGAGATAACAGAAATGACAGGAGAGAAAAGAGCAACAGTAGTTGCACTAAAATGGTTAGGGAACTTTTTCTAGACCTCTCAGGGCATGATGATTTCTGTGCTCTATTGCTCCTTATCTTTGCAAATACATCTATCATCAGTGAGGAACCAAGGAGTCTCTCAAGGCCTTCCCTGTGAGATTTGGACATTGTTTTACCTTTGCTGCTAGATTATTATTTTTTTTTACCCACGCTTTACAGTTTAACTCCATTAAAATATCTTGCTGTGGCCACACACACAGAGGTGTGCCCAACACTCATACAAAACAGAGGTACCTCACACCTCTTCACAGCAGGATGTAGAAGTGTTGCAAAATACAACCGATGGGCAGAAAGTCAAAGACTGGAGGGAAACCTTTCTCTCCAATAACACAGGGAAACACACTGGTGGTAATAAAGACACTTATTCCTCACTGGCACATCGGGGAAGCTCTTGTCACCTTTCCTGAGGTCCTCACCTTTGGTGATGCTGTGGGAACAGCAGCAGATGTGGGGCCTCCTTGGATGGGAGAGGTTGCTCAGGGACTCAACCAGCCATCTGCATTGGAGGGAACACAGGGATGGGGGAAATGCGGATAGACAGGTGCTTATGTCCCGGAACAACATGGGTCATTTTGCTTTTGTGTGGGACACCCAGGAGAAAGTAATGGAAGCCAAAGAATAAATCAAGAGTCAGCAATCTGGCTTCCCAGGCCCAGATATCTTCTATAAATTTGCATGTGCAGAAAGAAAAAGAATTAGCTCATTCCTTTTGAAGCCTACATTAAGATATTTAGACATTCCCTATGTAGTATTTCAGAATCAGGGGCTCAGTCCATCACTTGGTGAATTTTTAATCCAACAGACCACACTCTTCAACACAGTAAAGCATTCATTTGTATTTTAATCACAGAGACATTAATTTGAAAGACAAAATAGAATTATTGGTTTGTAAACATTCTTTCCTTTGACTTTAAATTACACTCCTCACATAACAGATTACTTTAGCTTGGAAATCGCTGCATTTTATAAATAAGCACAGATCCATTATTGTTTCAATGAGAAACTTAGCATTAAAAACAATACTCAAAATAACTAGAATATTGTATAGTCGCAATTCCAGATGCCATGGTAAGATAAATTTTTACATTTCCTTTCCAGACATGACTATTACTTCTCCCCAGATTAAATCTTCCTCCCTTTTAATAAACCTTGAAATATTTATTGATGCCTCACTCATATTTTCTCTCCAGCTCACAAAGTTTCGAGGCATTAGATAGATGGTCTTAGAAGGATGTGAGAAGAGAATTAAAGAGGAGAAAAATAATATAATGATTATACCAAACAACTCGTGACATGAATGTTGAAATTATTTCTTAATCATTTAGGAGGTGTTAGGATTACAAAGTTATTCTAAAGCATTGTAACAGGCTAGGATTCATTGTGGATAAAGATATCACAGCTTCTTGCAAACGGCACATATGTGACTGTCATCAGTGAAGCATTTTGGCAGCTCATAATATGTGGTGTTTGCCCTGTAGTCATTTAGTGGATGATGCTGACCTTTGATCTCACATTATCCTGTGCGAAAGCGGTTTCTTCAGTGCAGGTCTCACAAGAAAACCGGCAAGAACAAAAACAACAACTGCCAGAATAACGACAGCAGCAACGACGGGTGTGAGGGGATTATCATCAGCAGCAGCTGCCTGGGGAGGAGGCACAGAAGAGTCCAGCCCTGCGAGTAAAGGCAAAGAGGGTTTGGTCTCAATATATTAAAGATCAGGGCACAAATTGCTGCTGCGTTAAAAGGGGTGGTTCCCACACCAGCGTCAGAAATAAGCTAACTTCTTACAGATTCATTGGTTTAAACTGAGACATATGGTGTGAATTTTGAGGTTGTCCTATGCAGGGACAGGAGTGGGACTTGATGATCCTTGTGGGTCCCTTCGAACTCAGGACATTCTGTGGTTCTATGTAACTGTTTGAACAGGCTTTATATTAGCAGGGATGACAATTAACTAAGCAAACTTCATAAGTAGAAGACAACTGAGGGAATGAAATGTTTCTCAAGAAGGCTGGGAATTGGCTCCCAGCTGACCATCATGTTACACAATCAGACTGGAGCTAATTAGTTCAGTAGAGTTATAGCACTGCAATGGGTTATACTCTACCTCTCCTTTGGGACAGCCAAAGCAGTTATACTTTTTATACATGCAGGTGAAAACAGGGGGTTTGCAAGGTGTTAAAAGAAGAGATTTGTAGACATTTGGGTCAGCCAAACAATCCTTTCATATTCATGGCGACGTTAGCAACAGCAGATTTCAGTGATAGATGTCAGAAATGCAGAGCTTTTCTTGAAGCTCTAAGTAGTCTTAGAGTAAATATGAGAGAGATTTATTTGACTTTACCAGTATTCCTACTCTGAGCACCTCCTTCTCGAAGCTGAAGTGGTCCGACAACCACATTCACATTTTCCTTGGCAGAACTTGTATCTCTCTTGGACCTATGAATACAGCCCTGGTAGCAGCGGGAGGAATAGTCACCGAGCCTGCACACCACCAGCTCACACTGCAGGTAGACTAACGTATGGCGGCTAATGAACTCAAAGGCATTAAATTTGAACCGAGCAAAGTGGTTGTAGGGGGAGTAGTATGTGACATAGGAGGAATCTTTAGCACATCTAGAAAGAAATGAAACAGAGAATTAGTCTTCATGGATACACACATGTACTTTCCTGCAAAAATACAGTAGATTAAAAGAAAATTATATTGTAGCCACGTACTAAGAACACAATCGGATAAAAATGCAACTTTTATAGCATAGTATAGACTTTTAAAATAAAGACTTAAGTCCTATGAAGCAGCTAGAGCATTGGCAACTCTTTTTTTTCCAAGAGAAGGAGACTATAAGTGATGAAGAGGGGAGAACAGACTCTTACCTCTTACTAATGTCTGTGCTATATGAGGCATTAAAAAAAGAGTCTAATGCTTGACCTAGTTTTGCTAAAATATTTAACACCTTAACGATAGATTCCTGACATCTACCTCACTCCCACTACTTTGAATTTTGCATATAGGACAAGGATGAAGTAAGTGAAATGAAATGTTAGTAAGGTCTAAATGTCATTTCTTATTTCCAGGCTCATGCTGTAAAAATAAAAAATCAAAGACCCCTTTTAACAGTCTGTTGATAATGAGATCTAAACCAATTCAGACTGGCTCTATTCTTTTAAATAAATGCAGAAAGTGTATTACAGCTATGCTTCTAACAACTTGAGAAAGTTCTTACCCATTCCTGATTATATCATAGGCCAGAGTGTTAAAATCATGAGGATCAGGTGATGCCACACATGTGTCTACAAACACGACCAGATTTGGGTCAGAGCTGTGAAGATAAGCTTGAAGGTACAAATTTTGGTTCAAATCAATGTAGTATGGAGAGTCATGCACTTGCCGCAAGAATGATGAGGAATCATAAAAAGTGATGTTCATGTCGTATCTTCCAAACTGATTTTCATTCACGTCTACAGTATCCTCAGCAACATACATTATTTGCATCCATGTGTTCTGTAGCATTTTGCAACTGATATGTAAGTGAATATTCTTTTTCCTCTTGATTATGTACCCAGAAGATGTAACTTTGATCATGTTGGAATAGTTGATTGTATCATCATTCTCCTGTTTAACATGTAATTTAAAATGAGGAATTGCATTTTTGTCATGTTCCATGTTCTAAGTTTTGATAGAGTAATACACAATTTTAAAATGTAGATTTATCTTAAACTCTTTAAACCAAGAAGTTTGATGTTGGTCTTTTCTGCTCACACATTGTAAATAAACTTGCTGAAGTATGTAATTAAACAGAAATCAGTGAAGAAAAACTCTTTGTTAAATCCAAGGCAGAGCCAACTCATTTAACATCCGTACAAAACACCAATCGTGTAGTACACAGTCATCCCAAACCTGCATGGCACTTACAAGACTACGTCTACTTTAAATCATGGAAAGTTCATATAACTTCCTCCCATGCTTTCCTCCCTAGAAGCTCATTTCTATTAAGTGTGGGGATTCCCTAAGGCATGGAAAGCCAAAGCACTAAAAAACTCCGAACCTTGTTGGTTCACTTCTTAGCACTGTGGACCACAGTGGCCCTTTCATGACTCTTTTCAGAGCGAGTCCTGCAATTCAGCGTGCACAACGGTGAGCGTACCTCTCGTATCGTCCCACAGCCGTTGTAGGGAATGTTGAATATAACCTCGTGTGATGTGACTGTTGGTTTACAGCGACTGTCGTTCAGAGTGACCATTTGTGCCGAGTAGCCTTGAGACTGGAGATAGTCTCTGCTAACCACTGCATGCATGTAGTCTGGTAAGCACAGAAGGGCTGGTAGAAGAAGATACAATATATTAGTGACTTCAGGAATTTGTTAATTATTAGAGGTTGTAATTGAACCAAAAGTTGGTTTTTTCTTAATTTACAAGGTAGGCAGTTCACACACCAACTCATCATATTTCACACACATAATTTCATTTCCCTAACCTCTTTAAATATACACAAATATTTATTTTGCAAACAAAAGCAATAAACAGGCTTGTTCATTGAGAAACACCGACAGGGAACTTACTAGTGTTGTGATCTGCTGGAATGGAAGAGTAGTGAGCCTGAAACCCTCTGAAGGTGTATCTAGAATCACTGTGAAAGCGAACAGTCATCATGTTTGAAGAGGATATGTATGTGGGAAAGGAACCAGAACAAAGCCTCCCAAGAAGCGGGGAAGAGTGTGGAGGCCCGTCGTAGACTTCAACGTAGTCATACTGGCATCTGCCGCTTTGCATCCTGGCAAACAAACGTCAGCACCTTGTCAAATGCATTTCAGAAACTCTGATTTAACTGCCTAACACATCATAAAATCTTTCAGCACTCTAAAGTTTTCATGGCAGAGGTTTTATTCATTTTGTCTGTAACTGTAGCAGAAAATTGTGAGCAGAAAATACTACAGTAACCCAGATTTTGTTCTGGTCTTCCAACTGTTGGATGTTATTGAAAGTATCTTTAAAATTGGGAAGGTTGCCTCTTTCAAATAAGTTTTCAAACTTCTCAAGAAAGTTTTGACTTCGTTTTACTTACGCAATATCTCTAAATGTGAGCATAACACGGAAATTGTTCTCTACTTGTATTTCCCACACACAGTCAGCGTTCTTTGGATAACTTCCAGGGTAGAACGGACTCTGCAGCATCCCAGAAGAATTTGAGATTGAGCCACCACAAAAATAAGGTGCTTCAGAAAGAAATGGAAGAGAATTAACTTACAGTAACCTCTACAAAATTGTACTCGAGCTGTACGTGTCTCATCCACAGCTGCTGAAAAGCAGGTCTCCCGCTGACTGTGGGTGATATTCTATATGACCCAAATCAAAACAAATATTTGTTTTTGCTTTAGATTTACTTTCATATCAGATTCAGGACTCCCTGTCACACCCATGGAGCCAGACCACCCTCTTCAGGGTGGGCTGGTAACATCTTGACGCTTTCTGCTCTGGTGTCTCCTTTCTGCAGTCAAGGTCTGATTCTAGGAGGTGTCATGACAGTCAAAATGGAAGAACCTTCCTGAACAGACAGCATCCCCTCGGTTACTCTGCTGCTTCTCTTTATTCCCCTAAGGACTTCGGAAGATAAATAAGTTGCAAGTCTTCTAGGAAACTCTGTAGTTTTATGGTCTCAGACTGAAATAAGCACTCCAGGCTGCTGGGCCAAGTTTTAAATATATCTCATTTCTCCTACAAGCATAGCTGCAAAAAGCTTTCATGGTCCTGCCAGCAAGAATGACATATAAGTCTTATATTAAACACACAGATAATCCTAAAATTTCCTTATAGGAAGCTGAGCACAAGCTCGGAATTTAATTCCTACAAGGTGTGACACATAAAGGCAACAACCCCCCATTTTATATTCCTGCGCAGGGATACCCCCCCAGTGCAGCACACTCCTCCCTGCCTCAGGATTTTGGGATTCTCGGGTTATTCCAAGCTTGGGACCATCAGCTGTACCCAGACACTGCCCCTTCCTCTGATCAGCCTGGACAGGCTCTCAAGCACCTTCACTTTTGTACTATTTTGTACTGTGAATGGTCAAGCTCTAAATTTAAAAATCTGCTTTCTAAGACAAAAATAGCAGGCTGAAGACCATAACAGCTCTAGTAAGCAGAAAAGACAAAAATTCCACATTACAATACTTGTACACCACCCTGCTGAAACTGATATATATGGTTAAAAGTTAAAGATTTAGGTGACACATCCTAAGCCCTGACACAGCTGAAGAGCCCAGCAAGGAAATGGCTTGCACACAGACAACCAGCATAACTGCAAAAGAAGCATCACAGAAATCCAAGGCGATATCACAGCCTGTCTAAATATTATCATGCAAGTTTGAAGTGATATTGCCATAGAAAAAAAATAAAATCTTAAAAAACCCAACAGGGAGACAGCCCAAAAATAAAAAGGGTGAGAAGAGTGACAGAAGAACATCACCTGTTGGAGGTGTCGTCGTGGCCAGAGCAGATGTGGGTGTGGAGGAAGAAGAGCAAAAAGTGAGACATGTTGTTCAGGAGAAAGGTGCTGGGGCACGGACATGGGCCCACCTTGGGGCATAGGGTACCATGAGGGGGACCATGGTGAGAAGGGGAAGGGGAAACATGGCACAAGGAGTAAAAAGCCTTGTAGCATGCAGGCACCTTCTCTCGTTTCAGACCTCGAGGACTGTCACCCTCTGCTGAGGCAGGCTGTGCGTTTCCCTGGCTCTGCTCGCCCATGGAGAAGACCAGACCCCATCCTGGGAGCCACTACCTGCTCCCGCCAAAGGCATTGCCCAAAAACAGCATGAGAAATTCAGACCCACCTGGAGGAACGGATGCCGTGAAGCTGGCTTCGGTGGTGGCGGTGGCATCTGTTAGGGGAGGAAGAGAAAGAAGGCAGTGAGGACCCTGTGGATGAAGGGGCACGACCAGGTTTTCTTCTCCAGGCACTGGGGCTGTTGGTGCCACGCTGTCACGTGGGCGCTGGAGAGCTTGGGTGGTCTTCCATGGTGGGAGCAACAAAAGCCACAATCTTGGAAGACATCTCCAACACATACCGAGTGGCGGCCAACAAGGGCCACTTTTGGACAGCAGACTGGAATTTAGGAAGGAAAAGCA